AGGCCAGTCTTTTCTTGGCCTAGAGGTTTCTTCCAGAGTTTGAAGAAACTTCTCCTGGGCTCCATCCCCACTCACCCATTGCCTGTACACAGTATCTCTCTTGAAGGAACTTAGCCTAAAACAAGCCAGGGAACCAGTATCACCTCTCAACATCAAATTTTCAGTTTTTCTTTCTGCTTAGTGCTGTGCTGGTGGACTCCATTAGGGTGATAACTGGTGCCCTGAAGCTCAAGGTTTCAGTTCCTGCCTGTGAGGCATGCTGCCTCAGATCTTCAGGGGAAGAGAAAGGGGCTTTCTTTGGGCATCTTTCTTTTAGCTATTCCCTGACCTAAAGCCCCAGTGTTCTTTTCAAGGCCAGAATGATTCATTTGAGGCATTTTGCCCCATTAACATTGGAGTTCTTGATAATCTGTGACGTGTCTGTCTCAGACAACCAGGACTGCCACCAAGAAGGTACACTAAGAAGGTTCCCATGGTATTCTCCAACAAGCAGCCCTTTACCCACTAGTAGCCCTAGTCTAGCCCCACCTATCACAGCCCAGAAAGGAAGCTGCTTCTGCCCAGCTCTTTCTTCTCTGGCAACTCTAGGAATTGCCCAAGTTATAATCTACAAACCATTTACATTCTTTGCTTTTCATTGATACGGAATGGAAAAAATGTACTTATGAGCAGAATTATTATGAGGGCTATGTCATAAACTTTATTCGGACTCCTTCCTCTTGTTCCAAGTGGGCAACCTAGCTTTAACCTTTCTGCTACCAGGAAGTCTTCCTTTACCAAAAAAAGGCAATTATGGGGTTTTGTTTGTTTGTTTGTTGCTTTTTTGAGACAGGATCTCACTCACTGTAGTTCCAGGTGGCCTTGAAGTCACCATGTAGCCCAGGAAGGCCTCATCCTGAGTGCTGGGTTTAGAAGTGTGTGCCACCCTTCCTGACCTTGAGAATTAGTGCTTTTTTTTTTTTTTTTTTTTTTTTTTTTTTTTTTTTTTTTTTTTTGTCTTTTGTCTTTTTGAGGTAGCGTCTCATTGCGTAGTTCAGGCTGGTCTTGAGTCACTTTGTAGCCCAGGCTGATACTGAATTCACAACGATCCTCTTGCCTCAGTATTGCCTCAGCATCCCTAGTACTGAGATTACAGACATGTGCCACATATGGGGCTATAAGTTTGCTTTTTAAAGATGATTGAAGATGGTCTTTGAAATGCGCTTTCCATCTTGATGTCCGTTAACCTGTTAAATTGTTTTTGTTCCTTTTGTTTTGTGCAAGGTGTTTTATTTTGTTTTGTTTTGCTTTGCTTTCTTGCCCTGATTCAAAGGCTAGAGGGTTTGTGCAATAGAACATTCACAAGAGCTCCTAAAGTGCTCCAGGATCTAGAGAGCTGTAGTTTTCTCCCTTTGTGAGTTTATTCCCCCTTCCTTAAAGTAGAATGATCTTGGGGCTGGTGAGATGGCTCAGTAGTCTAAAGCACCTACTTAGAACAAGCTTAGCAAAGCACAGGGACCACGGTTCAATACCCCAGCACCACATGCCAGCCAGCCCCGCCCCCTGGTGGGCTGAGCTGGCCACACACACACACACACAAACACACACAAATAATTTTTTTAAAATTAAAAATAAAATAAATAAATAAAGTAGAATGATCTCGCAGTGGACCGAAGATAAGTGGTTTCCCTGTGTTCCTGCGCAAGACCTAGATGGCCTGCCTCTCAGATTCTCCAGTTCCTAAATATCTTCAACTCCATATTTCTCACTGTTGTGGTGCATTTTATTTATTTATTTATTTATTGTGGAACTGGGGATTGAACTCAGGCCCTTGCGCTTGCCAGGGAAGCGCGTATTCCACTAAACTATCTCCCCAGCCCCTATAATACATTTTAGAAGCCCACAAAAACTGCACAACCTTGACTGTTCATACCAGTTGGATTGCAAATGAGAGAAGACTTTTCTTTCAAAAGACTGGGTGACTTAGCACTCTTCAAACAGTATTGTTTTCAGACCTCTTAGAACTGGTTCAAGAGGGGCTGGGGAAATAGCTCAGTGGAACGAGTGTTTCCCTGGCAAGTGCAAGGGCCTGAGTTCAATTCCCGGTTGTGCAAGAAACAAACAAACAAAAAAGAACTGGCTCAAGAGACTCCAGGGGATCAAAGACCTTTTTTTGTCAGTCTGACAGGAGCATCCTTACCCTAGGGAAAGGACTAATGGCAGTAGTAGATAAAATCCCCAAGGAAACAAACTTCCTTCTAAAGACATGGAAATGAAAAAGGGGGGGGGGGGTCCCTGTCTGCTCTTCTAACCATGTGTTGGACATTTCCCCTGATCCTGTAAGGATATGCCGCAGGCAGGCTCAGGATGTCTGCATCCCTGGGTCCTGCTGTGCCCTGGAAATCCCCATCTCCAGGAATCCCACGTCTACACATGTAGCCTTTCTCCCTCTTGGCCAAGAATCATACTTTCTTCCTGAGCTATGCAGCATATCATCCTGGTGTTCCCACCTGTTTGTCAGTGTACACCCTCTACCTCTCCTGGACAGATTTCTGGTGTAAGCTCAGCAAGTTTCTGTGGACCTCTCACCATCCAGGTGAGCCAAGGACCATCACTAACTGCTTCTCTGTTAGTGACCTCACCCATCACCTCCACCTCCTCTCCATTTAGTGGCAACAGCCTCATGCCAAAAAGGAAAAGTCTTGGACCCATTACATAATTCTCTATAGTGCGAGCAGTAGCTGGGGCATAAGGTCAGAGGTCATAGTAGGGTCAGGTGGCTGACACACACTGTAACGACAAGGTGGTTAAAATTAGACCACAGAGAGGAAACTGGCAGTCTTGTGGAAATGCAGAAGTTTCCTCTGCAAGTGAGAGGCTGGGGATGCAGGGAGGCCACTGTGCGTGCTGCCTGCCAGGCTATTACTCATTTCGGCTCTGTTCTTTAATGCCTTCTAGCTCCTGCTTCTGTATTCTAGCCTTCCTCATCACATGTTTGAATGCACGCAATGGGACCGTGGTTACCTGCCCTAGGCCAAGCAAGCTTCCTTCCTTCTTTAAGAAGATAAGCCCAGGGCCAGGCGCCTCAAGCTCCAGAGACTATCCTTTTCTCTAAACCTCTTCTGGGTAGGTGAGAACTTTGTAGGTCAGCCTCTTGCACAGAGGTAGTCAAGGTATTTAGCCTGAGATGCCAGACAGTAGTATAGTAGTAACAGGATCATTAGTGAGGGGTGGCTAACCACATGAGAAGATGGTAGAAAATGAAGGACAAAGGCCAGCCAAATAGCTCAGCAGATTAAAGTGCCTGCAAGCAGGTGCAGGGGCTGGGGGTTCAATCCCCAGGCCTGCCATGTCGGCCGAGTCCCCAGGGCGCACTGAGATGGTGATTGAGACTAGGTGTGGTGGCGCACACCTATAATCCCAGCTCTTGGGAGGATATAAACAGGTGGATTACTATGAGTCCTTTCTAGAAGCGAGACCCTGAACATCCTGTAGACCCTTCCCTAAAATACAAAAAAAAAGAAAGAAAGAAAAAAAAAGAGAGAGAGAGAGAAAATGAAGGACAAAAGTGACTAGTGTATGTCGCAGTTTCCTAGGCCAGCCACTGGCAGAGTAGTGCTCATTTCCACAGTGTACTGCAGAAAATAGATTATGCCTGTTTCATTTATTCCTGTGGATACTGAACTAAATTCCCATTGCCTTTTCTGTGAGCCTACTGTGTACACAGCTTGTCCTTATAGCCCTTGCTGTAAAGTATGAAAAGTATGAGCTATAGCCTTCGTCACCCAAGGGGTTGTTATCCAGATGAGGTAAGTAGCATGTGTACCCATAAAACCATGAGCCTACAGTCAGTCTCTATCTTAAAGTCTTTCACTGCATGATGCAACAGATCAGTCCCTTTCACATTCAGAAATGGGGAGTTGTTTGGGGGCCAGGCATTCAGTGTGAGCTGGAATCACTGATGATGAAAGGCCTACCTCCTGTGGCCTATCTGGCTACCACAGTATGTTTCCTATATGGATTAACCATCAGCTTCTGAGTGCAGATCAAGCAGGGCCCTCGCCATGACAAGTGCCCCATTAGTAGGGAAAACAAGTCTTCAGAGTCCAAGGAGGAAGAGAGGGGCACCAGAGAGCAGGAATGGAGGAAGCTATAAGTAACACAGGTAGGGCTAGAGGTAAGAGCATGTGTGTATAGTCTGTCTATGGACACTTAATGAAACGATGACAAATTTGATGATTGCGCAAGGCATTGAATTTCTTTTTTCTTTTCTTTTTTTTTTTTTTTTTTTTTTTTTGGAACCAGGGATTGAACTCAGGCCCTTGAGCTTGCCAGGCAAGCGGTTATTCTATTGAGCCATCTCCCCAGCCCCCAGTGAATTTCATATTAGCTAAACCATCCCCAACTTGTATGAAAGCAACAGTGTGTGCTCATGTGGTCATGTGAGAGCAATGATTTGAACCTGGCAAGTGTAAAGCTTGGGTGAAATACTACCTGACCCTACTCTCTTAAAATGTGAGAAGCTCTTAAGTTGGACAGGAACCTATCAGAGGGAGCCCAGAGTGACCTGGTCAAAATGAAACAACCAAGAGAGCCCTCATCATTCATATTGCACCTAGACTGCAAGTTCTTCCAGTGAGATCTGGAGCTAGATTGGGAGAAGAGTAGAGAGGAACACCAAGGGGTGCCAGAAAGTGGCATTCTGTGACAACCAGTATTCTGCACTGTCCTCCTCCAATACTGATTATATTCCAAACTTAGAAGAACTTAATTTATTATTTGGGGCATTGTCTACTGCCCCAGGGATGACCTAAGGAGCAACCTTGGCAGCTTCCTTTGAAAGGAGACCTTGGTGTCAGCCCTCACTCACCTCTTTACACACATATGCTCCTGTTCACTCACTCTCCCTTCCTTCCCAGTACCTTTGACACACTTCTCATGTGCCCCACAGCCAGCAGTGTCTCAGATTCATCTTCCTCTTCAGAAAATGCTGTTTTTCTTCTCTCCCTCTTGCCCTGTAGGTTATTGCAGCCGACTGCAAAAGGGTCACGGTGCTGAAGTATTTTCTGGAAGCCCTTTGTGGACAAGAAGAGCCTCTGCTGGCATTCAAGGGTGGAAAATATGTGTCAGTGGCACCCGTCCCAGACACCATGGGAAAGGAAATGGGAAGCCAAGAGGGAAAACAACTGGAAGATGAGGTACTATGCGGGAAGAGCCCCCTGTGGCAAAGAGAAGGCTCTGGTCCCCCCTGCCCATGGCTGCAGTGTCTACTCAGGGTTATTTATAACCTCTTAGAGCACTGCCTATGTTGACCTGTCAACCAGCTTCTCAAGAGTACACTCTGCTGGTGTCCCTTCCTACTAGTCCACTCCAGTGCCTCCATCTAACTGTGCTAAATGTTCCAGATGCTTCTTTTTAATGTTGCATTGGAAGAGAAGGAAAAGAAAGAGTTTTAATAATGTACAGCTCTGGAGGCTTAGGAAAGGGAGGGGAGGGGGTGTTAGGGTTCAGGCTGAGGATCAAGTTTATAGATGTGCAGATCTTAGCGCAGCACAGGCCTGAACTCCAGCCTCAAGCACACGTACAGGAAGAGCTGACATTGCTGGCCCTGTGTGGAAAATCACCCCTCCCCTGGCCTATTCTCCCTCCCTTGCTCCCTCCCTCCTGCACATCCTGATGTGATTAAGGAATTCTCATTTTGTTTGTTTGCCCTTGGTTATTCCTGTAGCCCTTGCTTCACTCCAGACTCTGTGTGTGTGTGTGTGTGTGTGTGTGTGTGTGTGTGTGTGTGTTTACACGTGTGTGTACAAGTCTGTGTACCCACCATTGCAAACCTCACTGGCAGTTGCCCTGCTATGCATATATATCTTTCTGGGGTTGATAGTTGATGTGGGTCTGTGTATGCTGAGTTTTTATGTCATTTTAACTGAATGCTGCTGCTAGCTCTCTTGCTGTCTGGGGATTCTAAGTAAATATGTAGGTGTCAGAATATGTGTGCATTTAGCATCACTGCCAGCTTCCCTGCTGTGTGTTTGAGTGAAACATTGGGTGTGCGTATACCTCACTTTTGCCTGAAGTTTGATTCCTTAATTTTACTCCACAGTGTGAAAGATAATAGGAACTTAGGTGGGAAGGAACATGAGAATAAGAGAAGATACGGAAACAAACCTAGCCAGAGTTCAGGTCACCCATAGGCCAACACAGTCATTTGGCCCACAGCAGTCTCAAGCGCCTGGCTGAGCAGGGTGGGGTACAAGGATGAAATCAGCAACAGGCCAAGGAAGCCAGATGTCAGCTGGAAGCTGTCGTTTGGGATCTGAGGCAATGATAGAGTAGCCACCTTTGGAACAGAGTCTTCAGAGCAGCAGAGTCTTGGACTGGCTTTATTAGGATAGCTGGAGAACCCACCCCACCCCTGATGACACAGAGCTCTGCTTCCAGGACAAAGGTGGTTCCAGAGATACAGCTGAGCCCGTGATTCCTGATGAAACCTGGGCAGAAAATCATGGGAAAGAATGAGCTGTCTGTATGAAAGAAGACAGTGGAGTTACTAAAGTCATGGAGGTGTCCAAGTTTTGGGTGGGCAAAGTAGTGCCACCACAGCTCTGGGCACTGTATCTGGTGTAGGTATAGCACTGTATCTGAAGTAGGTATAGCACCTTGATCTGTTATCTCATCCATACTGGAAAACTGAGGCAGATAAGGAGGTCGTGGGGTAAGCAAGACCACCTCTCCAGCCTTTTCCATAAAAGATATCCTTAGGCCATTGGTACCTGTAGCACAAGCCCAGTTAGGCAAGGAGGGCCTCCTTCCCTCTTCCAAGGAACAAACTAGCTCTCTGGTCCCAGATATTGACTGTACCACACTCCCTCTTCAAACTTACTGAGCAGACAGAGGTTGTGACCCACGCCAGGCTGCCCACTTCTTCCTTTTCCCACGAACCTCCTGGGTTCCTTTATGTTAGTGGCCCCTGGGAAACCCTACTTACCCTAGTCTGTGTAATTTCATAACCCTTCACTTCCTCGTTTGCTGTGAGAGCTTCAAAAACCTCAGACAAGCTTCTATGACCGTCCTTTGACCTTAGTCGAGCTCCCTGAGGGCCCATGATAGGCCTGCATATCTCTAATCAGAGCATGAGGGACCACTGTTCCTCACAGGCCTGGCAGGCTTCTGTTCCACTTGCTGCTGTCCAGGTTAACCCCTTGAATAAGAAGTGTATGTACACAGTATCCCACTTTCCCATGACCAGAGGATGGCAAATGAGTGGTAACTGTGAACAGACCCTGAGACTTCTCAGCATAATGGTAGTTTTAGCTCATCTTCAGATCTCATATCTACTGCAAGACTTGAGTCACTGAAGCTGATAGGAAGAAGTAGGGGTAATGTTTCTTCAGAAATCCTTCTTTATGAACAGAACAAGTCTAGTTCCTTAGGCATGATACCAAACCACCCATCATTTTTCATCTCTGCTCTCCATCACCTACCCACCCACCCACTTTACTGAACACTTTACACCAAGAAAATCCCACTTATAGGAGAGAACAGTCTGCACCAAAAAGGTCTGGGCCTGGCAAAGCTGAGCTACTAAGGGCCAAATCTGGACTTTGTCTTGATTCAGGACCTCAACCCTGTGACCTGTAGATTTGTTCATTATGTTGATAAAAACAGACTTTGGAGTCAGACTTATTTGGGTTTGAGTTCCTGCTCTGTCCTTTATCATGTATGTAACCTTAGAGGTTATTTAACTCTAACCTCTAATTTGTTCATTTTTAAAAAGAAGGATGGTGATACCACCTAATTCATAGGCCATTCAAAAATGACAGTATATAACAGCAGTACTAACTATGGCAGCTGTTGCTATAGTTACTATCATCCTGTTAGAATCACAGGATTCTTCTGTTAAATCACTCCCCACGTACCACTGCTAAATAACCCTGTCCCTCAAAGGAAGCTCTCTTGGGCAGCTGCATGTTTTCTGTTGACCAAGGCCAAAAGTGAGATTGTAAAGAATGGAGCAGGGACCACCCAGAGAGTGATGGCTTCTGAGAGCTGAGGCTGCAGTAGGGAGGTACCATCCCTGGGGAAGGCATTACCAGCTTGGCAGGAGGCTGCTTAAGCTAGCCAGCCCCCTCCTACCCTGCCCAGGCCCTAGGAGGGCAGCTGAGCAAGGCCATGTCATGCAAATTCCTGTAATAAGACCCAAAAGTCTCCTTACCACCAGGCTGTGGCTTTAAAAAGAAATCAGGACAAGGTCTGCTGAGCTACAGCATCTGCTCCCAATGCTGTCAGGCCAAGGGAGCTTCCTTGCCTAACTCCCAGCTGTTGACCAGTTGATTCCTGTCAGCTCATTAACATGAATTAGATTAAAATTGGGTGGTTTAACTTTCTCTGTTGTTTACCCCTTGAGTCATTTGTGACTCCACAATGAAAATAGGCCCAGAGTTTGACTTTTATGAGTATGTTCAGGGGAGAAAAAGGAATGTGAGTATAAGCATGTAAGTGTACATGTGAGATTGTAAATGACTTATGGTGTGCCTGTGTCAGTAAAGAGCCATAGAGTATAAAAAGGAGCAATGTGAGGGAAAGCATGACTACCTCTGTACATGCCCCTTTTCCTGAACAAGGGAGGCACATACCATAGGGTCCTTGGCAAAGAATGGTCTCAGTCAGCATAGAGTGGGAACTTTAAGGACAGAGAGTGAGTTTCTTAAGTGCTGTGCCTCACAGTCTCCTCTTTCCCCTGCTTTACTCCACCACCCAAAGGAAGAAGACGTGGTGATTGAAGACTTCGAGGAAGATTCAGAAGCAGAAGGCAGCGGGGGTGAGGATGACATCAGGGAACTTCGGGCCAAGAAGTTGGCTCTAGCCAGGAAGATAGCCGAGCAGCAGCGTCGCCAAGAAAAGATCCAGGTAAGGACTGCCTGCAGAGGGCCATTCCCATGAGGGTAGTGGCTGTACATGAGGGAATATAGACAGGGAATAGAAGCAAGCAGGTAGGGGCCGGGGAGATAGCTCAGTTGAATAATCACTTGCCTGGCAAGCTCAAGGGCCTGAGTTCAATCCCCGGCTCCGCCAAAAAAAAAAAAAAAAAAAAAACAAGCAGGACCCTCTCAAGAAAGGTCTTGCAGTGTTCTCTCTAGCTATATTCCAGCGTTGTCTTACTGTACCATTACACTCTAGTAGCATATCTCCATGCCTGAAGTTTCCTTTATTGCAGGCTCCCAGGCAAAGACTGAAACTTCTTACTCTGTGAGATTCTACCAGTGACACTACACATAATCTTTCATGTAGTCTCAGGGCTTCAGAGTCTCCCTGCTCTGTACCAAGATACTCATGAAGAGAGTACCTGTTCTCAGGAGAAAAGAGAAAGTACCATAGTCACAGTGAGTTCCCAGTGTAATGGAAGAGCCCCTTCTAGACAGGGTACTCTCCACATCTTCCCAAAGAGGATCTGTCTCATCCCCAGGCAAGGGATTCCCCCACTGTAAGTCCTCTCAGGAACCTAAACCTCTTCCAGCAATCTTTCCTCTGGATTTCCCAGGCCCATCTCTTGCGTTCTACATCTACTTCTCCTTATCTAGAGCTCAAAGCAGACAAGAAGACCAGTCATGCTCTCCCTAAAAAAACAAAACAAAACTGCGTTAGTAAGTATTAAGTCATCCTCCTTAGCATCTCCAGGGATGCCTGTGGCCAGCTCTCCTTCAGCTTCCCCTCTCCTGAGCATAGGTATAGTATAGGTCATCAGACAAACCTGATTACAATCCAGGGTTCATCATTTAACTAGCTTTATGACACTGGAAAATTATTTAACTTTTGGAGCCTGTCTTCTCATCTACAAAGTGAGAGTGGTAGTATCATCTGCTTCTTGGTGGTGTTGTGAAGCCTGCTTCCGACAGAGCACAGTGCATGGCACACAGTTATTTCTCTGATAGTCCAAGTACCTGCTCTAGAAACAGGAATGAATACCCATTGGGATTTATCCTTCTTAGACATATTCATGTCTCCAGCCAGTGGAATCAAGTGTACAATTCCTCTGTCAGCCCATCTGCTATAGTGTGCCGGTCTGCTCAGCCCTCCCACCAGTCTGCATGTAAACTTCTGTGCAGCCCCCAAAGCAGCTTTATTCCCAAGCTTCTCTTCCTGTCCTTTTCTTCCTTATAATCAGTCTTCCTGAAAGTCCCATCCCTATTCACTGCTTCCATGTCTTGACTATCAACCCAATGGTTATAGGAATTTGTACCAGAAATCACCAAGGGCCCATCTTGGACCCCAAAGCCCCCTTCCTCCAGCTTCTTTCCTCTTACAAGTACAAATGAATGTATTTGTCTTCTCTCTGCTAACCAGACCCTGCCCCTTTCCTAGGCTTCCTCACTACCATACCACCATTTCATTTTCTTTTGTTTCTTCCTTTTCTATTTTTTCTTAGTCTCAGCAAGCTAAGTTGGTGTTTTGATTTCATAGATGGTTGTCAATGGAGCATAACCTTAAATTCCATCTTGGTTATTTACCACTCCTGTCCAATTTTTATCAAATCATATCTATTCACTCATTGATTTCCTCTTTTCATCCTTATTCCCATTGCCACAGCTTTCCTAGTTCAGAGACTTGCTTTGCTTGTAGCTGTGAAGCCCCTTGCACTTCACAACTTCAGGTATGCCATTGACCTTGTAGCATGTGAGTGGACCCTCTTGGAGTTCTGTAGTTCACAGTCTGGCCACCTGGCTCCTGCTTTACCCTTCTGCTGCTAGTGTGTTGTTCTGTCCCAAAAGAGCCAACAAGATAGTTCAGTGGTCCAAAGTACCTGCTTAGGCAAGCTTGGTGCAGGGACCGAGTTCCATCCATCACATGCTGCTCTAGCCCCACCCCCAGGGCTGAGCCAGCCACTAAAAAAAAAAAAAGAGCTACTTGCCTGCTCAGAAATCATCGATGCCTTTACTTGGCTAGTAAAATAAAGTCTTAATTTCTTCTATAGTATTGAAGGCTATCTGATTTGTCCCTGTCAGTTTTTCCAACTTCTCCCATCATCACATCCCCAGGCAAAACCTCCTTCGTGGTCTATGAGACAAAAATAGCATAGCAAAAATAAATAGATAAATAGATGTGTAGTACTTGTCAGAGTCCCTAGAGGCCTCAGAATGAATGACAGTGTGAACTAAGCACCCCAGCTAGTCACTGAGCCCCTCCTAGCTGGAGAATAGCACTAACTGTCCTCTGTACCCACTGTCCCTAAATATGTGCTACACTTTTTCCATTCGCTGGTCTTTGTTTTTTGTTTTTTGGGGTTTTTTTGCAGAAGCAGGGATTGAACTCAGGCCCTTGCACTTGCCAGGGAAACGCTTATTCCACTGAGTTATCTCCCTGCCCCTCGCTGGTCTTTGTGATACTGTCCCTCAAGCCAAACTATTCTTTTTCTGTTCCATATTTTCTGTTATCTGTTGAAATTCTATTCTTCCTTCAATCCTCAGGTGAAACTCCATCTCCTCAGTGAAGCCTTCCCTGATTCTCCCCAGGAGGAATTCATCTCTTTTCAGTGTTCCTGTAGTACTGATTTATTCTTCATTTGTGGAACTGCTATCATATCTCAAATTACAGTTATTTCAGGGCCCTCCACCCCATGGTACTATGAACTCCCTGGTCTCGGAAACTTCAGCTCAGTTTAACAAGTGGAGTTGAACATTAAGTATACTGGTGGCTTAGGGACACAGAAATGAACAAAAAATAATCATATCCTAGACTGTACCATGTAGTGGAAAGGCAGGTCTTAAGCAAGTGATTCAATATGTGAGCAAATGCTATTTAAAAAAAAATAAATAATAGAGCATGCTGTGGGAGCAAATGCTACATGAATCCACCCCACCCAGAATTCTGTATCCAGGTTGGCCTCTCTAGTAATATCCAGTACTCTAATAATTGGAGGCCTAATGTAAGACTTGACTTACATTAAACTGGCTGGCCCTGTTTGGGAGGTCTGTTCTCCCCATCATCTCCTTCAGAGAAAGCTGTTCAGGCCTTGGCCTTAAGGGCAGGCTCTAGGCTAGCAAAACTTGGGCTGATGTGGCCCCTTTAAGAACAGGCCCCACATGCACTGCTGCTGGCTGCCCTGCCTCCTGTCAGCCTCTTTCCTCCAGCCTCACAGCCACAGGAGGATTTCTCAGCAGAGGAAAAATTCCCCCTTTTCCTCTCACCCCCCCCCCAATGCCCGGGGCCCTTCACTTCCATAATTCTTCATTTTCCAGCCTTGAACGTAAGCCAGACACATCTGTCTGGCCATATGCGTGAACCCTGGAGTCTGTGCCGAGGTGGCTGTAAAACAGGGCCGGTGAAGGCCCTTCTGGGAGAGCACACACATGTGTGTGCCCTCGGGCCATTGGCTTCCTGCCCAGAACCACGGGGCTTCAGCTCGCCAAACCCATGTTAACCTTCTCTATTTTTCCTCTTTTTGTTTAATTTAAGGGGGGAAAATCCCAAGGAAAAGGTATAAATTGTCCTGGGAGTGGAGGAGAGGCTTCTAGTTAGAGAGGCCATTATTGTTGGCAGGTACCTAGGTCACACTAATACAATAAGGAAGAAAGGAGAATCAAAGATTGGAGAGATGGGCTGTAAATTACACTGCTCTAAACTCCACCAGTCTCCAGGGTGTTAACCTAGAGGTGTAAGGCAAGTCCCCAACTCCCAGTGCCTTTTACAGATGCTGCAAAACAGGAACCACACATGTTTGGGGAAGGGGATATGAAGATGGGGTTGAACAAAATACCCCTGGCCTCCAAAGTGGCTATAAAGTCCAAGTGAGATCTGGGGCTATAGCCACACCCCCCACTTCCCTGCTCCCACCTAAACCCCTGGGCTTCAGCTCATCTGTGAGGATGGGGGAGGTAAGGCCTGGCCTCCCTCTGAAGCCTGTCCCTCCCTGCTTCCGGCATTGCACAGAGGCTGGTGAATGAGGCCGACTAGAGGTCAGAAACGGGGTGTGGGGAGTGCTCAGGGCCTGTGCAGCTGGAGCTGCAGCGCCCAAGCAGGCCCCTAAATGTTGGGGGTGCCAAGTCCGCCCACCCAGGGCTTTGAGGCCACTCTTTCCAGCTCAGTCTAGGCTTTTCCTTGTTGCCTGAGACAGCTCTCCATATTGGGCTGGTTCTGCCCACCATACTGCTTTCTGCCTGAGTTCTTTTCATTCTTATTGCCTTCTTGGGAGGTATCTGGAGACCAAAACAGGGTACATGGTTTGCCTGGGAAATTGGTCAGAAGTGTTTCATTCCTGACCAGGCCCCCAGGGCCAGGCAGTCACTGAAAATCCTCCTCCAAGCATGAGGCGTGGCCTCTTGGCACCTAATACTGGCCCAGGCCTGTGAATATATCTACCCCCCCACCAAGGCTGTGCTGTGATTTGTGCTGCTGTCGGGCCGGGTCAGGTTTCCTGAGCCGTTGCAAACATCCCACCTGAAACATAACAGGCTCTTCCTCTGGCCATAGCTATTGTTTCCCCCTGCATTATGGCCATAGTCTTGCTCTGTAGCCAGCAATGACATGTGTTCTGAAAATAGCTCTCTCCCCTGTCCCCTTCCCGCCTACCCACCCTCCTGAAGATGCAGTCAGTCCTTTGTGGTGGCCCCAGGAGTTTTAGTCTAAATATAGCCACAGTTCATTCACACTGCCACCCAGCTTGGGAAGGGGGGGTCAATTCTGGAACAATGGGGTATGCACAGAGCCCCCCACACCTGTATGGAAAACTAGCGGAAGACAGACACTCAGCCCTGGCTCCTAGCTGTCGGAGGCAGGATGGGAGCCAGCACACTACCAGTCCAGGGGCACGTTCACGCCAGGGCAGGAAAGTACATCAGCTTGTGGAGCTGGGCACCACCCCAGCCTACTCCAGCTTCTCCACACATTGTCTCCTGTTTGCTGTAGCTGCTCCC